GGGAATGAGTTAGAGACACCAAAATTGGTGTATTTAAAGTTGGGACTGTCCTCTATCAGAATGTCAAACCAAAACAACTTTCCCGCAAACCGGTCTATGGGCTGCCATAGACGCCCAGTCGGAAGAAGAATAATAATAATAATAATAAATATAGCTGCAAGCAGCCATTACCGGGGCCAAGCGCAAAAAGCGGCAACATATGCCAAAATGGCAAGGAGTGGCAGACCAACTGCAGCAAGGAGCAATTAAGGGCATTTTGAGAGAACTTTGGGCAAATGGCTAAGAAAATCACATAAACATTAACTCATAAGATGATTTAATGGGTTATCACTTTCGAACAATAGGTGGCGCAGTTACGAAATAGATGTGATGTGGTCAGAGTGAGGTGACAATGACACATGCAAAGTTTGGTGTCAAAATGTGAAGGCATTGCAGAGATAAAGCCTAAATAGTAATTTTGGCAGCATGCCTAAAATTTGATGCTGTGGTATACGAAAACGGTTTTGTCTATCATCGTGCAATTCATAACTTTTAGTCGGCACGGTCTGGAGATGATACGATTCAATTTTCGTGAAAATCGGACAAACGGTCTAGGAGGAGTTCGAAAAAGAAGGTTTTTTAAAGAAATAAAGATGGCGAACAGGACGTTTGTCTGATTATGGAAAACCTGATATCTATGTTTTCGGCATAACCGAAGGAATCTATTAAGATCAGTTTCATTGCAATAGGCAAATTTATTCAAAAGTTATTAGCGTTCTCAGAAATTAATTATAACTTTTGACCAACAGGTGGCGCTGTCTCAAAATCTTTTGAGTACCTTCAGGGCATGCTGCTTATGGCACACACTGCGTTTTGTAATATTACACCAATGCATTTGTTTAGTATAGCATTTTATTTCACAAAACTCTATTGAAGTCAATGGGAATTTCACGTTTTGTTCTATTATAGCGCCACCAAGAGGCTCAGTCCCACAATTTTTTTTATGTGTCCTCAGAGTGACCCCATACATATGTGTGTCAATTTTGGTGCAAATATCTCAATTCACTTCCGAGTTATAAACATTTATATGAAAAAACACGTAAAAAATGACTGACACATGACTTTGTTTGAATTTTACTACCCCTTACTATCAATATTTTCGCATTTGGGCATTTGCATATAGTTAACAAGCTATGATTCCGTGTTTCTGGCGGTGGTTTCGTCTCGATCGGAACAGCGGTTTTGAAGATATCGCCAAGTGTTTTTTTCGCGCTAAATCGCTACGCTACACCAACCGTAAGACGAAACCCAGCATGTTTAGTATCGTTGGACTCGGCAACGATTCAGGAACTCAAAAAGATGACTCCCGTGAAAATAAGTGTACCACACCCAAAGTTATAAGCGTTTGAAAAAAAACAATTCACCACTAGGTGGCGCTGTTTCGAAACTTCTCAGGCTTCTTCAGGGCATCGTACTGATGACCCATACCGAGTTTCGTAACAATTCGTTCATGCGTTCAAAAAATACAGCATTTTAGCACATAATTCAAAATGGCCGACAGCCAAAATGGCCGATCTGGGAAAATTGGATATCAGTCGACTCGGCATGATGCCCTGAATCTAACGAGATGAAGTTTATGATTTTTGGACAAACCGTTCAGAAGTTACGAGCAAAAATAGCCATTTTTCATATCTCCGGACCACTAGGTGGCGCTGCGCCGAAACGCAGCACGTAGCCTCAGGTCATGCTTGTGATGACACGTACAAAGTTTGGTCTGAAAACGAGTAAGCGTTGCGGAGATACAGCCTCGCGTCTGTTTTCGCAAGCGCTACGTAAAATTAGTTTGCGCGCTTATCGAAAACGGTTATTCGAATCATCATGAATTCCATAACTTTTTGTCAGCACTGCCTGGAGATGATCCGGTGCGATTTTGGTGAAAATCGGACAAACCGTCTAGGACGAGTTCGCAAAAGTAGGTTTTTTGGAAAATTCAAAATGGCGGCCATTTTTTTATGACGGAAAATGACGTCATAGGGTGCGATCGAATCGGCATGAGCTCAGGAACAAGAAGAAAAAAGAATTTTGTTGATAGGCCTTACAGTTCAAAAGTTATTAGCATAATAAAAGTGCAACTTTGGACAGTTGGTGGCGCTAGAGGGAATGAGTTAGAGACACCAAAATTGGTGTATTTAAAGTTGGGACTGTCCTCTATCAGAATGTCAAACCAAAACAACTTTCCCGCAAACCGGTCTATGGGCTGTCATAGACGCCCAGTCGGAAGAAGAATAATAATAATAATAATAATAAGAACCGGCACAGATACAATAGGTGCCTCCGCACCTTCGGTGCTTGGCCCCTAATAATAATAAGAACCGGCACAGATACAATAGGTGCCTCCGCACCTTCGGTGCTTGGCCCCTAATAATAGGAACCGGCACAGATACAATAGGTGCCTCCGCACCTTCGGTGCTTGGCCCCTAATAATAGGAACCGGAACAGATACAATAGGTGCCTCCGCACCTTCGGTGCTTGGCCCCTAAATATAGCTGCAAGCAGCCATTACCGGGGCCAAGCGCAAGAAGCGGCAACATATGCCAAAATGGCAAGGAGTGGCAGACCAACTGCAGCAAGGAGCAATTAAGGGCATTTTGAGAGAACTTTGGGCAAATGGCTAAGAAAATCACATAAACATTACCTTATAAGATGATTTAATGGGTTATCACTTTCGAACAATAGGTGGCGCAGTTACGAAATAGATGTGTGGTCAGAGTGAGGTGACAATGACACATGCAAAGTTTGGTGTCAAAATGTGAAGGCATTGCAGAGATAAAGCCTAAATAGTAATTTTGGCAGCATGCCTAAATTTTGATGCTGTGGTATACAAAAACGGTTTTGTCTATCATCGTGCAATTCATAACTTTTAGTCGGCACGGTCTGGAGATGATACGATTCAATTTTCGTGAAAATCGGACAAACGGTCTAGGAGGAGTTCGAAAAAGAAGGTTTTTCAAAGAAATAAAGATGGCGAACAGGACGTTTGTCTGATTATGGAAAACCTGATATCTATGTTTTTGGCATAACCAAAGGAATCTATTAAGATCAGTTTCATTGCAATAGGCAAATTTATTCAAAAGTTATTAGCGTTCTTAGAAATTAATTATAACTTTTGACCAACAGGTGGCGCTGTCTTAAAATCTTTTAAGTACCTTCAGGGCATGCTGCTTATGGCACACACTGAGTTTTGTAATATTACACCAATGCATTTGTTTAGTATAGCATTTTATTTCACAAAACTCTATTGAAGTCAATGGGAATTTCACGTTTTGTTCTATTATAGCGCCACCAAGAGGCTCAGTCCCACAATTTTTTTTATGTGTCCTCAGAGTGACCCCATACATATGTGTGTCAATTTTGGTGAAAATATCTCAATTCGCTTCCGAGTTATAAACATTTATATGAAAAAACACGTAAAAAATGACTGACACATGACTTTGTTTGAATTTTACTACCCCTTACTATCAATATTTTCGCATTTGGGCATTAGCATGTCGTTAACAAGCTATGATTCCGTGTTTCTGGCGGTGGTTTCGTCTCGATCGGAACAGCGGTTTTGAAGATATCGCCAAGTGTTTTTTTCGCGCTAAATCGCTACGCTACACCAACCGTAACACGAAACCCAGCATGTTTAGTATCGTTGGACTCGGCAACGATTCAGGAACTCAAAAACATGACTCCCGTGAAAATAAGTGTACCACACCCAAAGCTATAAGCGTTTGGAAAAAAAATTTCACCACTAGGTGGCGCTGTTTCGAAACTTCTCAGGCTCCTTCAGGGCATCGTACTGATGACCCATACCGAGTTTCGTAACAATTCGTTCATGCGTTCAAAAAATACAGCATTTTAGCACATAATTCAAAATGGCCGACCGCCAAAATGGCCGTTCTGGGAAAATTGGATATCGGTGGACTCGGCATGACGCCCTGAATCTAACGAGACCAAATTTATGCTTTTTGGACAAACCGTTCAGAAGTTACGAGCAAAAATAGCCATTTTTCATATCTCCGGACCACTAGGTGGCGCTGCGCCGAAACGCAGCACGTAGCCTCAGGTCATGCTTGTGATAACACGTACCAAGTTTGGTGTGAAAACGAGTAAGCGTTGCGGAGATACAACCTCACGTCTGTTTTCGCAAGCGCTACGTAAATTTTGTTTACGCGTTTACAGTCGGAAGAATAATAATAATAATAATAAGAACCGGCACAGATACAATAGGTGCCTCCGCACCTTCGGTGCTTGGCCCCTAATAATAATAAGAACCGGCACAGATACAATAGGTGCCTCCGCACCTTCGGTGCTTGGCCCCTAATAAGAACCGGCACAGATACAATAGGTGCCTCCGCACCTTCGGTGCTTGGCCCCTAATAATAAGAACCGGCACAGATACAATAGGTGCCTCCGCACCTTCGGTGCTTGGCCCCTAATAAGGTTCATTAGTTACTACATTAGTTAACATTAACAAAGAATGAACAATACTTATTCAGCATTTGTTAATCTTTGGTAATGTTAATTTCAACATTTACTAATACTTTATTAAAATCTTGTTAACATTAGTTAATGCACTGTGAACTAACATGAACAAACAATGAACAGCTAGATTTGTATTAACTAATATTAACAAAGAATAACAAATACAGCAACAAATGGTTAGATCATGTTAGTGAATGCATGAAGTAACATTTAATAAATGAACCTTATTGTAAAGTGTTACCGACACCCTTGTAAAGGACAGAACGCATGTTACCTTGAGTACACTCTCTGAGCCAACCTCTCTTTCAGGTTGACATTTTCTTCTTCCAAATATAAATATTTAAATACAGTATGTAAACGTCCTGACTCGCTCATAAAGACATTGTTTGCCACCAGCTAATCGCTGAGAGCCTTTTCCAGGTCTGTTTGTGATTGTTCCTTTAAAAGTTACATTTTTGTCACAATTGATTGAACGATTGAAATCACAAATCCCAAACAGACCTGGAAAAGGCTCTCAGCCAATCAAAATTGAGAACCAGAACAAAAAAATATATATATTAAATTTTTGTTTACCTTTGATTTACTCTGCTGGCCAGATGCCACATCCTGTGATGGTTTCTGTGGTTCATTCTTCTGATTTCTGTATTTTTTAAAGTGTAAATACACATTATTATTTGACATTTTACAACAACAACAAAAAAGACATGACAAAGCTATTTTAAAAAGGAGACAAAGAAGCATTTATCAAAATACATCAAAGGCTTTGGCATACTTTTTGTTTTTAGATGAAACTTGCTGAACTCCTTTATTGGTTTCTGTTTCCCCACTTTCATTGTCAGGTTCAGTTTTCTGGTCAGAACGAGCAGACTTCTGCTTCTCACTCTGCTCCACCTTCACTGGATCTCCACTGGAGGCAGCATTCTTCTAAACACAATGTCATCCTTTAACTCAATGTTTGTAATTTCCAGTAACAGACCAAATATATCAGTCTGGCCTCAACTAACATTTGGGCTTTCTGAGGTTGACAATGTTAGCTGATAACTATGTGTGATTGGGTGAAGCTTTAGCTCTTTCTTATGCTAGTTCCACAATTTACTGACAACTTAGTACAAGGACACATTTTCTATTTCCATGTACACTCACCTAAATGATTATTAACACCATACTAATACTGTGTTTGACCCCCTTTCGCCTTCAGAACTGCCTTAATTCTACGTGGCGTTAATTCAACAAGGCATTCTTTAGAAATGTTGGCCCATATTGATAGGATAGCATCTTGCAGTTGATGGAGAGTTGTGGGATGCACATCCAGGGCACGAAGCTCCCGTTCCACCACATCCCAAAGATGCTCTATTGGGTTGAGATCTGGTGACTGTGGGGGCCATTTTAGTACAGTCAACTCATTGTCATGTTCAAGAAACCAGTTTGAAATGATTCCAGCTTTGTGACATGGTGCATTATCCTGCTGGAAGTAGCCATCAGAGGATGGGGACATGGTGGCCATAAAGGGATGGACATGGTCAGAAACAATGCTCAGGTAGACCGTGGCATTTAAACGATGCCCAATTGGCACTAAGGGGCCTAAAGTGTGCCAAGAAAACATCCCTCACACCATTACACCACCACCACCAGCCTGCACAGAGGCAACAAGGCATGATGGATCCATGTTCTCATTCTGTTTACGCCAAATTCTGACTCTACCATCTGAATGTCTCAACAGAAATCGAGACTCATCAGACCAGGCAACATTTTTCCAGTCTTCAACTGTCCAATTTTGGTGAGCTCTTGCAAATTGTCGCCTCTTTTTTCTATTTGTAGTGGAGATGAGAGGTACCCGGTGGGGTCTTCTGCAGATGTTTTTCCCTTTTCACACCACTTTTTGTAAACCCTAGAAAAGGTTGTTTGTGAAAATCCCCGTAACTGAGCGGATTGTGAAATACTCAGACCAGCCCGTCTAGCACCAACAACCATGTCACCCTCAAAATTGCTTAAATCACCTTTCTTTCCCATTCTGACATTGAGTTTGAAGTTCAGGAGATTGTCTTGACCAGGACCACACCCCTAAATGCATTGAAGCAACTGCAATGTGATTGGTTGATTAGATATTGCATTTATGCAAGAGGTGTTCCTAATAATCCTTTAGGTGAGTGTTTATATAATTTATATTTTCGGCATAAATATATATTTAATTTTTGATTACCTTGGATTTGCTCTGTGGGCCAAATACCATTTCCTGTGACGGTTTCTGTGGTTCATTCTTCTGATTTCTGTAATTTTTGAAGTCAAAGTATACAGTATTATTTGACATTTCAATTAAAAAAAGCAGCATTTATCAAAATAAAAAGGCTTTTCCATACTTTTTTGTTTTAACTGGCTGAACCTCTTTGTTGGTTTCTGCTTCCCCACTTTCATTGTGTTTCCCAGACTCTGTGATCTTCTGTTGACTGGCCTGTTCCTCGTCCTGATGACCCGTCTCCATTTGACCGCTCTTTATGTTTGCATTCTGGTCCATACTAGCATTCTGATCGAGAGCAGTTTGTGCTCCTGTGGATCTAGTCTTCTGTGCCGTTTTCTCCTTCTCTGCCTGTTCTGACACTGGTGGAGAAGTGCTGGTGTTGATCAGCTCCTCAGCCGCTCCAGGCGTTACACAACCACTGTCAGACTGAGCTTTCCCAGCGTCTGAAGCCGAGACGCCAGAGGTTTCAGTTTTAGGCATGTCCTCTACGGTGCAGTGAGAGCCATCACTGTCAGAAGACTGGTCTTCCTCCATTTTCTTCTCTTTATCATTCAGAGATATATCAGAGAGTTCAGAGGTCAGAGACGAAGGCTCCTCTCCAACACCAGCTTTTTTCTTCTTTTTCTTTCTTTTCTGTAGGATGAAGAAAAATAATATGCATTATTAAATCACCAACAACCGAACCTTAAAATAAGAAACATTTTTAAAAAACCTCAGAATAAAGGTCCTTCCACACTGCGGTTTGTCGTATTCGTGATTCGGCGGCTCTGAATTGTCAAAACAACATTTAAAATGCTTTGCAACGGATGCGAAAAACACAGAAAATTGGGTTTTCTGAAAAATCCGACGGACGAAAGTTTCCGAGTCAGTGTGTAAACGTGATGGACACAACGTGAGGTTGTATATACTGTATATTTTTTTAACGTGCAAAACTGTCGGACTCCGTGTGCAAGGACCTCAAGAACAGGAAAAACAAACTTAATCCAGGACTATTTAAATGTTAAATAGATGTTCATATCCATCACCTTCTTCTTTGGGCACGGGAGGGCGTCTTCATTCGGACGCTTCGGAGAAACATTGGCGTTCTGGAGATCCAGCTCTTCAGACTCAGGTCTGAGATCAGTTTTTGCTGCATCGGTGTCAATGTTTGAGGATGATTGAGACTCGTCTTGTGCTTTAGCTGACAAACACAAAAACAAAGGTCACACACACACACACACACTGATAACCTCTTAGGAAGGCTTTCTTCACGCTGCATCTAATTCTAGTTTCAAATGCTATCTTTAGGACTCACTGTCACATGCCTTGAATGATGAAATCAGATCTGTTAAAATGGTCAACATCGGTTCACACTTAGTTGGGGACATTTAATATTATTGTTCTGCCTGCATTGACATCATTATATGAGAACTGAATGAACTAAATTAATAACTTTTTTTACAACCAGCTTACTTAAGCTGGACTGTGTATTTTATCTAGATAGAAACAAACTTTGTTCGTTTTTTAATGTATTTTTTTGTCAATGGTGCTCTGGCACGGTACAAAGCTAACATGCCTAGGGTGAGGACACCCGTAATGTTACAAAATATTTATACTTTTTTTTTTAGAAAGAAAGAAAGTTGTGTTGCGAGTGTTTGTAATGTTGAGGCAGTGATGGTAAATGTAAAATTGTATTTCTTTGGCGTTGCCATTATTTGCCTATCATTTTTAAATTGGATTTGCTGATACTTGTGGACACACAGGATGAACCTCTTATAAACTGCACACGACTGTTTTTGTCTTGATTAGCAGCAGTTCAAATGTGAAACTGTTATTCTACAATAGTTTAGAAAAGGAGTAAATGTTTTATAGACACATTGTTGGTTGTGTTTAGGAACTAACTGTGGTGATTCATTTGTAAATTAATCTGCATTGAGAATGTATTGTTAATCACTGATTTGTGGTGACACTGACAAACCTTGTATGATTATGTAATAGAGGTTGTTTGTTTGCGTTTGTGTGCATTAAGTATTATTGATACTTAGAAACATTGATTCATTCCCCCATTTCAAATCACAACCCAAACACATCTGTTAAATCTACCTAATCATGGTGTCAATTGAATGTTGTTTTATTTATTCTCTATTGTAAGTTTTAAATGTTTTATGCATCCCTGTATGGTGTCCTTGAGTCCCGAGAAAGGCGCCTTTAAATAAAATGTATTACTATTAAAAGCTGACTCTGTGGGAGACCCAAGCGTTGGTGAATGGTGAACCGTTATTGGTATATGAATGGTAAATCGTATGAAATGACCAACACAGGAGTGAGCCTTTATTAATGTTTATTGGATCTTTTACTTAAAACAGACAAATTATTGTTCATTTATTTACTGTCTTTTCATTTAGGATGTTTTTTCCCCAGTTGAACATTAAATAACTTTTTTGTCAACTATTTTTTTGGACATTAATATTTTCAAATTTTGTTTTTGAACATGCTGATTTATAATTTGGTTAATGTAATAAATATGCCGCCATTATTGATATTTTAACTTCAATTATGTTATAAACATTTATTTTTTATTCATTTATATAATTTACTTTCATAAGAGCGTTTTTTGGATGTTTCCTAAGTAATAGTCAAAGCAACAGTTAAAGGTTTGATGTTAATTGGGTTTTCAGACTTGTTTAATATGGGTTACACTTAAGTTTAAACTACTTTACATTGTGGTGATTGTAATGCCTCTTTTTTAATGCAAAAAAAAAAATAATGTTTGTGTTTAACATGCTAAACATGTAACATTGGTGTTCAGATTTCTTTTGAAAAGAATAGTCTAGAACGACACTGATTTTGTTTAGTATGCCACACTTTTGAAGATACATTATTTAAAGCCCAATATAGTGTTTAACATAATTTTATTAAACTGTGGGCATTGTTATTTTATCCTACTGCATTTTATAACATTTTAATTGTTTCAGTAAAAGTTGCTTTACAATGTTTGAGTTTTTGTGGTGTTTTCATAGTACCAGTACCAGTATGAAGAGGTGTAATGTTTTTGAGGATCAGCTTTAGAGTTGGTTATGTTTTTCTTTTTAAATCTGTGGCATTTATACATTTTTCAGTAATTAACGTTTTTATAACTGAGGACATGATGATGTTGTAGTTTCTCTTATATGAAATTCCTTGGACACTCCTGGTGTTGGAGGTTTACTGTTTCAAGAAGGTGGAATCTGTTTAAAGATTTTAATAAATACACTCCTTTACATTGTTATTTGTATTTATACAAAATGAATCATGGGGTTTAATCATGGTTTTTGTAGTAAAATCATAGGAATTACAAAATAATCATGGTCATTGAATTAAAACCATGGTTAATTTGTAGTTATTATGGTTTTACTATAAAAAACCATAACTAAATAATTGTTCAGTGTGTATAAACTATGGGTTTTACTACAGTATTAATATAATAACTATGGATTTAGCTATTTTTTATGGGTTTATGGGTTCTCAATAGAATATTCAGAATTAATCACATGATTTTTTGAAAATATAACTCTAATCAAATAACATTTGGAAAATGTTTTTTTTTATTACAACAAGCAACACTACAAAATTTGGCTTTGATCAGAAGAATAAAGTACATTTTAAATATATTTTATAATAATTGCTGTCTTGAAAAAATAGGATGTGGGACACACATGGAAACATCGTATGTTACAGTCAACACGAAATATCGTTCTCAGCCCAGTTTGGTTCTGTAATGTGAAGTGGAACTGGACGTTCAACAAGAATACAGATGTAGGGCAGAACTTGACTTCATTCATCGCAAATTTACCGAATGATAATAACCATCTAAATGCTTTGTATATTTTAAAGCACATTTCTGAAAATTTGACTAAATAAAATGCTAAATATTTTGCGTTTCCAGTTTCAAGCACCAAAAAGAACACACTGTATTTTCCAAACTAACACACACACACACACACACACACAAACGGCAGAGGTGTGTGCGCTGTACAGTGCTTTCGTTTCAGAAATTTGTTTAGGCTTGGCATTTAGAATAAATTGTTTAAATGAACAGCACTATGTTAAGCACTGGTATTCCCATTCAAATGCTCAGTAAAGCAGCTTTACAGACAGATATCAGGAAAATAATGCAACAGAGTTTGTTTCTGCTGTACAGCAGCTCTAGAAGAAAATGTCCAGTAAGATTTTTATTGATTCATTTCTGGTGTAAAGATCATTAGTTATTGATTAGGGGCCACAAATGATACGCGGTTGGAGAGGTGTAGAAAAGTATTAGTGACATTGTGCTTTGGTGTCAAAAAAATATATTTTGATCAATCCTTCCTCATCAAATAAGCAAGTTTGTGATTGATCAAGTAATGTTTGTGTTTAAAATGTGTTAATCTTTCCATTGGAGGCGGGGCTCTTCATGAGGACGAGGATGAGAAGTGGATTCAGACACTTCTGTCCCCATCCTGTGAGTGTGCACTGCACTAGATGTACTGTACACGCATGTTACATGCCCTGTCTAAATGTCAAAGTAAATTAAATCTGGTCTTCATTGCATTAAACTTGAATGGAAAGAAAAATATGCACAAATAATTAATTATAATTATAATAATTAATAATTAAAATAATTAATTATATTTAATTATAAATAAATAATCAAAATAAGGAAATAAATAATTGTAAGAAACAATTGCAAAAACAAACGGTAGCAGTTTACAATAAGCTTCATAAGTTAACGAACATCAACTCACAAAGGGCAATACATTTGTTCGAGTATTTTATAATCTCTGTTGTTAGGTAGTTAAAATAAATCCAGCTGTTCATTGTTTGTTCATGTTAGTTCACAGTGCATTAACTGATGCTAACAAACACAACCTTTGATTTTAATAATGTATTAGAAAATGTTGAAATTAGAAGTATTGCTCATTCTCAGTGTTAAGTTGAATTTGAGAGAAAGAAAAAAAAAAAGGAAAAAAAAGAGACATGGTTAAAAAGTATAAATTCATCATTGGTAAAGAAGATTTAAGATCAAAATGAGTGCAGCCTATTGGTTGGGAGCACATGGTGCAACCTGGGAGAATCAAGGTAGCTGATTGGTCATTGAAACTCCACATCTCCAAACTCCACCAGGTGTGTGTGATTACTGGGAGCAAGAGGGATCTTTGTTTGCAGTGAATGTGCTTCTCCTACTGAAGTTGGTGGGTTTTGGTGTTCAAAATACCAAAGGAGAAAGACTGTTGAAAAGCCACAATGTTTCATCAACTTTGAGATGCAACTGGTAGGACAAAGACTTATTTTTATTTAATGACTACATATTTTGTGTATGTTTGAAAGGTGTTTAATGCTAGTAGTTTAGCATTTTACTTTCTAACTGCATAACAAGCTTCTTTATTTACATTGCTGTTGAGTTGCTGTGTAAATTGTGAATGTTTGACAATGGTGTTTGTACTTTTGTTGCACTTTGTAGTGACTCGTATCACATATCTGTTTCTGTGTAGGTTATTAAGCTAACCTTCTGGAATTATCATTGAGACAAGTACAAAAGAAGATCTAGTCAATGATGAGAGATTTTCAATAAACTGCTTCTATGATGAAGAACCAGATGGTTTGAGTTATTCCATGCACCTTCAGAGTTGATTGAGGCCCTTTTCAAGTTTGGGCAGACATTGAGGCAAAGAAAAACCCAGATAACTTGACACTTAATAACCAGCGCTTGTGGATAAGAAGATTAAAGGCTTCCGATGGTCCAGAAAGTAAAGGTGGTGTGAAGGAATCAACATTGTCAAAACAAGTCATCAGTAAATTGAGGTGTTTAAGAAGACGTATCTTTGTGACTTGAAACAAGATGGCAGAAGAAGCTTTGGGGAAAACAGTGGACCAACTTAAGCGAGAGAGAACCACTGCAAAGATGTGTGTTACAAAGCAAGCCAATCTTCTCATTCGAGAGTCAAGCCAAATGATTGAGTCTGAACTCAGGAAGGAATTCCAGAAACTCTCTTCTAGTGCAAGAGCACTTTTTGATGCAAATGATGACTATAACATGGGATTGCTGGCAGAGCTGGAAGCTAAAGCAAAGAGTGATGAGAAAGTGGAGCTTGAAATGCAGCAGGTAGCAGATATTGAGAAGACTGTTAATGATTGTGAGACAAAGCTCGAAGAGGTGCGAAAAATCGTCCAAATCAACTTGTG